CTGGATAGTGGGTAAGGCAAGAGGCTCAGAAGGGACCCTCCCTAGTTTCAGGATATAGTGGGAAAAGTATACTTTCAAACTGGCAAGATTCTGTTAATGTAGCTTTACTATAAAGTAGAATTAGTTTATCTGGTTGTGTTTCCTGTCTGATCTCCCTGGTAAGGCTGACATTCAGCCATCACTTCTGGGCTTCTGGTCAGATATACCATGGCCTTTGTATCTGGTTAGATCGATACTGCAGGTGAGGGACTAATGAAGATGTACACTTCCCTGAAACTGCGGCAGCTCCAGTGAGGTATATTCTAGAAAGAAGAATATTAATATCCATTCATTTTTCTTGAAACCCATACATAGCAGGGACACAACAGTGGCTTTCTCTGAGGTCACATATAATTCTGGATATTTGTGTTCAAAACATATCGGCATGGGATCTTTCTCTTAGAAGCTCTGTCTGGTAAATATGGGTCAGCAGAATCAGATGAAGGATGGAGAAGTGCAATGATATGGTGTATTTCAAAAATGATCAAGGAAATGAAACATGTGGTTAGATGGGATAGACTTTGGGGAAGATAATGAGACAATGACATTGTAAAAGACTTTTTAGGAGAGCTAATAGGAGTTATTCATGGCGCTAAATAACTTACAACTATGATAGTAACATTCCTAACTGAATTTAGATGATATGTTCTTGATGAAAGAACAAGGAATTAAAATAGCTATCCATGCCTAACAGAATCACAGCAGCTGTGCACCTGTCTCTCAGTAGGACTCAATACTTCAGTGATAAGTTCAGCAAGCTTGACACCTTAAGAAATTCTTTGAACAGCATGTGTAATTATCTCTTGCAATGAACAGGAAGTAAAGAGATTTGCGAATTTCCTGAAAGGTCACCGATATTTTAAAAAATCCCTTGATGTGAACTGGCACCAGCAGGAATATACTACAGTAACAACTAAACAAAGGCCTTATTTGACATTTAATGTCTGGGGGGAAAATGGACAGTTATTGGGTAGACCTTTTCCTATGGAACAGAAAGGATATAGAGTGTAACTACAAAATCACAAAGATGGGGATTTGAAAAATTCTCCTCTTTTAAAATTCAGTCCCCTCAAATTTGATGGCACTTCTAGTAAGACCAGGAAAGCATTTGGAAGCTCGTTAGCAGGAGCAAAGCTTCTCTCCTGCCACCTCCGCAAAGGTCAGCACAGCCGTTTTGAGAAATTTCCCAGGTCATTTCTGCAACTTTGCATGGGGCGCTCTCTTTTCACTGTTAAAAAATTATCATTTTTGTTCTGGCTTCTGTCTGATAAATCCATAGTTCTCCATATAATGATAAATCCCATTTTTTAAAATATATACTTCAAAATCACATTCCCATCTTCAAACCATATCACTTTTCCCCAAACGATATTAACAAATATATGGATTTTAAACCCAAATAGGACAATAGTGGGGCAATGCCATATCATATATCTAAGTGCCTCATCTGCTATTAATTAACTCCCCTATTTACATGGAATGTTCAAACTATGATTGTCCCAAAATGTAACTTTATCATGTAAATAACAGTCAGCCTTTGATTTCTGTCCAAGACTTTTCAAATACACCTTGTCGCTTTTAATACTGGAAATATAGTAGAATTATTACAGTACTGAAAAAGAAACTAAGTCCCTGCCAAGATATCAGAAGGGCTATATAATAACTGTCTAATTATGCCCATAATTCTTTTTTGGATGATCACTCAGAGTCTATAAAAAAATAGAAGTTAAACTATATCCCCAGTGATAAAGCTTAAAGTGATATAATTTAGATAAAGAAAATCCATGTATTTGTTCTTCTTATAAAAATATTCTTAATAACTTATCAATCCACTTTAAAATATTTCAAGTTATTAACATGATGATATCCCTTATTTATCAAACTTGAAGTAATGTTTATTTTTACAACATTTATTTTTTTCCATTACTGGGATGTTCAACCATCTATTTATATTTATGTTAATCTGAAATAAATAGTTTGATATATTTACATCTACAAATAAATGTTTTCCTTGGGATAATTATTCTGAGACATTTGAAAGAATTCAAGCACCAAATTAAAACACAATTTTTATAAATTTCCATAAACATATTAGAGCTCATAGGGCATATTTTATATATAATTGTTATTAAGAATTTTAATTATAATAGTAAATTCTAATACAAACTAAACTTAAAGAAAAGGGAATAGAGAGAAGGATTAAAAGTACAAGGAAAAAGAAAGAAAAAAGAGAAAAAGAAAAGAATATAATAAAGAAAAAGAAATACATAAAGAAGTGCCTTCCAACCTTCATCACAACAAGTATAAGCAAATTTAGTAACTTCACTCTTTCTAATGTTACAAACATTTATCTCTTCATCCCATATCCTATCTCTTATCTATAAACAAATCCATAAAGCATCAACTTTTCAATCCTGCTGTCAGCAGAAAGTCCATAAAGGGTAGCCAGAAGTAACAACATAACTTATTTTAACCTTTGTAAATCCAGTAGGAAAAAATTATCCAGGTCACTTCTTGGTTTGTCATTTGTATTTCCCTTTTAAATTTTAAAACCTCGGCCAATTTCTTTTGTAGATCCAGTGAAACATTCTTTTCTAAATCATTCTCTTGGCCTGTCAGTTATAAATCTACTTTTGATATCTCTATCTTGTCAGATAAAATTTGTTCTATGTTTGACATTTCTTCAATAACATCTTTTGGACATAGTTTATCCATAGAAGCAGATATCATTGCTGACATTGTTCATATATTGGCTACTATTTTCTGATTCCATTTTTCAAAAGTCTCCTTCACTATTTTTACCATTAGAATATTTTGCACCACCTTGCAGGTCTGTATATCTTTACCTAAAATTGTAAGACCTCTCTAGTGGTCTAATGTCCAGTTTTTGAAATCCTGAAATTCCTTATATGTGTTATGTCTTGTAAAAACCAAAATAGGATCTATTTCCCATGAGAAGCTATTTGACCTTTATAATTAATTCCAAAATTTTATTGTAAAAGTTTCAATATTCCAACTTTATATTCCATTTATAATTTTCTAGGATAAAAAATCTTATTTAGCTTTTTGCTGTTTATTTCAGATTCTTTACATTCTTAAACTTATGATTAAAGTTTTCTTTCATTCAGGACTAAAGGCAGACTCTGGCAAAACCTGATGTTTTTAAACTTGTCATTCTGAAGGGCTCTAATAGCTTAGAAATAGTTAATGATCAATTTCCAAAAGTGATTAGAAAGTGAGGTTTGCGAACTTAGCGTCCTTTAAAAGTCTCTGCCGTGGATGCAAGCAAGATGGCTAATCTTGTTGTCTCCCAGCACTCAAACCCCAGAAAACCATTGTCCTGCGGTTTCCTTACCAGGAACAGCCATTCAGAGCACATGTGGGTGATCTCCCATCTTCTCTTTATCCCGAGAGGTTCCAAGGAACCAGTCTATGCACCAGTTCCTTGGTCTTTGCCGTGGTCGTTGGCTCCACTTTCACAGAGCCATCTTGAGTTCACCATACCTCCCCCAGAAGTCCAGAGTTCACAGGGCATATTTTAGACATTCTGTAGTGAATTGAATAAACTGATCATTTATGAAACTATTATACAATATCAATAAATTTTGGCTTATAACACTCATAATGATCAATAATATGTAAAATATCATCAGCATATAATAGCAGTTTCTGTTCAACTCCCACTGAACTTTTATTCCTAGAGTATCCTTGGATTACCTGTTAAAACAGAGCAGAAGTTCCAGTGTCAGGTTCACTATAAGAGTTGATCAAGGGCTTCCTTGAGAAATTTCATGGGTCATCTTAAGAAGTAAAGTGATACGATCAGAAGAGAAACTAAAGTATAGGTGAAGTGATAATTCCATTTGTATAATGTTGGCTGAAGGTTTAAAATACCACATTTTAATCCAATTAATAAAAAACAAAAACCTATTATTTCCTGAATAGATATAAACAGCCTCCTATTTATCTTCAGAAGAACCATATTATTTTTAAAAATCATTACATTCTTCTTAATTACTTCCTTTGGACTCAGTATTGGAAACTTGAGCATAAAAAAATTAGAAATGCTGATTTATTAAAATAGAGTCATTATTTGTGCTGAATATTCTTGGAAGTCAAAATAATATTACTCTGTTATAGTTTCTGTTTCAGCTGAGGACCCAGTAATTCAGCTGTTTCAGTTGAAGACCCAATAATTTACCAGGTCTTTCTCCTCACTAAGTTGAGCAATTTTTGTCTCAATTGAACCAATCACTAAAAATTTCAACTCCAATATTTTCTGACTGAAAGCATCAAGTATTTGCTTCAGTTCCAAAAAATTCTAATTCACATCATACACTAAGATTTTTATCCACATAAAGGCAGTTGTTCTAAAAAACCATAAACCATGGGAAAGAGTCTTTAAAGTTGTTAGCTTTCTCTCTCTGGTCTTTTCTTTTGTGGATCAGCAGCTACTGTAAATCATTCAGCTGTTCTTCAACAATCTCAAGAAGCTGCTCTCCCTCTGAAGAGGAGGAAGTGATTCCTGTTTTCTCTGTCTTCCTGATTTCAAACCTATAATTAATCTAATGAAAGACACTACAAAGCTGTAATTTAGACAAAGAAAAACAAAATAAGTTTTTTGCTTACCAATTAAGCAATAAAGCAATCAAAAGATAAGGTGATCTCCTTGGGAGTTCATAAATTCAGCTCATCACTATACCAGTCAGAAATCTTGACTTTAAAGACATATGTAAAAAAAAATAAATGGAAGGGCAATAAATGTACAAGATTTTTGGTAAAGTTGAAAATATTGGCAAAAATAGAAGGTGAAAAAACATTTCAGTCATTCGGGATTATATAGCTATTCAGGATTATATAAGTATTTCAAGGGATGAAAACAAAAACATTTTCTTTTCACAGTTTCCTAATTTTTTTATGAGCTCATTATTTAAACTTGTTTTTTTTTTCTTTTTTGGTAGCACTTGAAAGAAAAATATCAATGAGGCAAAGCAGAGAGGAACTTATCAAGAGAGGAGTACTGAAGGAAATATTTGATAAAGGTAAGAAACACTCAACTCACAGTGGGAAAGAAATGGTCGACATGGGTAATATGATTTGATTTTGCAAGAATTTCTTGTAGCAAATCACAGGACTTGGATATGGATTTTGACAATAGTTGGATCCCAAACTACTGGTATAATAAATAAATTCAAATGCACTCAGGAGCAGCTTTTCTACTGAAGTCAAAATATTGTTTGATTGTTATCAGAATATTTTCTGTTTCAGTGATCCATATTTTCACAGCATTAAAAAAAGAGAGAGAGAAGCACTGTTCACATTTTTTGAGAAGGAAGGGCTATCATAGGAAGCATAAAATCCAATTCAAGTTTCAGAGTCTACAAAAGTTCAATTTTGTTAGCAACAGTGTTACAAAATATTCAGTCACAGAAAAGCAAGTTAAATTTCAGCAGCAGAAAAGAGAAGCTTGATTAAACATTCAGTTGTAAAAAGATTAATTTTAGATGCTCATAATCAGGATTGCTTTTTGAGGCACCCAGTTCCTGAGGTTATTAAGAAGTCACCTGAAGAATCTGTCCCCACAACACTAACGCACATCCAATCTTTGGTCCTTCTTCATAAAATGAATCACCAGGTTCTAGCACAGGCAATTTCCAGGCCTTTGAAAGCAGATCAAGAGTACTTGGCTGCCAGACTTGCTCATTTCCAAACGGCTTTCATAGCAGCATGGCCATGCAACAGACAAAAAATTCAGTGTGGCACCAAAGGAAATATAGGTGGGCATAATGGTCTGGCGTTCTCCTCCAGTTCTAGCAGAGGCAAGACTTAAGCCACCTTCCTTCTCATCAGCTGTGTCCCAGTTCAATCTATTGGTTGGCAGAATTTAAGTATTTGCTAAAAAGAAAAGCAACAGCTTAAAATGGTTACTGATTGGAAGCCTACTTTATTGTCTGAAAATAACATTTGTGATGTAAGTAAAAAAACATCTGTGTTGTATCTACCGTGACTTTTCGTGGTGCTAAATTATGAAGACCCTTCTAACTATGTGATTCTCTGAACCCAGTTTTGAAGCCCAGAAATACATCAGTAAGTAAAAACAATTAGCAGTTCATTTCATAAAAAATGAATAATAAATTTAGAAATAGAATACTAAAAAAGGCAAACTTTTCTAAGCCCATTTTAAAAAAAAAAAGACGACTTTAAAGTAATTTGTTCTGTATAGTTGCAAGATTGCTGTTTGATTTAAAAAAAAAAAGATTGAAGCTATTTAGTTTTGTCATCTCTTGTACAGTTGCCAACCATATAACTCAACGGAGCCAGCAAGCAGCTTGATCTTAAATCCTTCTGTTCAGTGTTGTGAAATATTAATGAAGGGACTACACAGTACTGAAATCTGTATAGGCAGTTCAAATGTCTTCCATTTGACTTTGCGATATTCAGTGCATTTAACTTAGCATACTCAACTGATGCATTTTATATTGTTATTTTATGTATCTTTTAGAAATGGAAGGCACTGATACCATTATAATTGGCTTTACAGTTTTGCTTTTATATAATTGTTTACCAGACAGCAGAATCATGTGCATGTTTAGTTAGATGTAAGTCTCATTGATTCCAGTCAGGCCTGCTCCAGATAAATAGGCTTATTCTTGAAATGTGAAGATTAATGTCAGCCTCACGGGGTAAACCA